TGCTCGCCATCATGGTGTACATTGTTTGTGATGATATTAGATGGTTGGAGGCAATCGGCAGGAAGCCTTCCACCTAGGTTTCGTGCTAGTTGGCACTCGTCAGCAAGGCGTATCTGCAACCTTGAAGGAACTCATGTCCATTCTGAGATTCGAACCCGCGTCACCCAGTGCTGCAGTCAGAGACGTTACCACTGAGCTATTCAGGCTAGCGATTGACCTCCTGTAGGACTGTTGGACAGTGCCAACTAGCACGAAACCTACGTCCAAGGCTTCCTGCCGATTGCCTCCAACCATTTAATAAGACATAAATTCTCTTTTTACATACGCACTAAGCAGATTGTGGAATCTATTATCTATTTGAAAAATTGACCAATAGTAAATGCGAACTTTAAATTAATTCCTTCATTTGATTCATCGACCAAAAAGTGTGATGATACATGTTTGGAACTTCACTTATGCGTTACCTTTCTTGATTTGTATTCAGGTAGATACCTTCATGATAAAATAGCTATTTCGATTGTTTTATCAGATACACGTGATGCACTATGTTTTGCGGTTAATTTGTAACCAGAGTAAAACAAAAACATAAATATCAATCTGTTTATCACAGATGTAAGGCAACTGGCTTAAATACTCCGGTTTGGAGACCTGTTCCCTTTATTAAAGAAAAATCCCTTCTGGAAAATCTGTTTACAATATTGATGCTTATTTGAATATTTCACCTAATTGTGAAATTATTACCCTTGATCTCCTTGACCTGTGTATTATCATTCCACCGTGTACATATCCTCTTTTGATTTAGTCCTGATTACTAGTCGTTTTTGTAGTTGGTTCCTATTGTTAATGCCCGAATTCCATATTGGGTAATGGTGGACTGTTGATAATAATATGTTGTTTCACAACCGCGATTTTCTTTGAATAAAATTCAAAGTTATGCCGTACGTACCATTTAATCTTGAACTGACAGTGGGAAATGTGTTTGGTGTACTTGTGTGGTGAGAGCTGGCTGCTAGCCAAAGTTGATAGACAGTAATTGACGTCAATGTTTATGTCCCTAATATCGGTGGTGAGAAAATGAGAACAAAGGCTTTGCGTAGGCGGATACAGTTAGCATATAGATGATCTGACACAGCCACAAAGAGATGCAACCAATCAAAAGACTGTATTTTCCACTAACAATCATCTACAATAATGTACATTAAAATCTATAAATATGTGTTGATTTTCCTTAATAAACGATCTGTTGCCTGACCCTTGTCTTCTGTTGTTACACTTGATTCTTGCCGGAAGAGTTTTGATCCTTTCTTTTTGGCAATATTCCGCCTGATTCTCAGGTGTTTCTTCGGGTTGTTTTTTGGTTAACTAATTTTTTTGTCCAGTACTTATTTTGTACATGAGAAATCCCTGGAGTGTTTAGCTTCCTAACTGCGTTCTTGAGGTAATTTTGAGTCTCGAACATGTTATTATTACTTAATATGGTTACATAGACGTTGTCGTGTATGACTGCCTATTAATCACAGTTAGGACGTTTTGGGAACTATGAATCACTCACGAAATTTTGGTCGGCTTTGCAGACGAATACATTGATTGGTTCCCTGTATTCAGACCAAAAGACACAGGTTTTGTTCGTCGTTCATACCTACTTCATCCCGGGCCCCTAAATAGTATCATGGGTCGTCACGTGAAAAATTAGTCACAGTGAACTGATTTCAAATAAACAAATACAGAAGTGTAGGTAGTGAGGCATTAGTTGTGCTTCCATTCGATTATTATGCGATTTCAGGAATCATTGTAACAAAAGCAATGTACAAAGAAGTATTAAAAAATATTAGCTTCAAAAATGAATTTAGTCGTTTGCACAGAAACTCTTTTCATTTCATTTATACAGAGTTATTTTGCTACAAAAAGACGTTCATACACGAATAAATAGTAAAGTAAATGTTGTCATTAGAGGTGAAATTATCGTTTGTTTATTTTCCATGAAATCATTTATCAAAAAGTGATAAGTTTATCAGATAGCCGGTTACAAAGAAGTGATTTTTGTTTATATTAGCCTTTTGTTTTTTGTTTTTCAGTCAGTGTCTAGTAGGCTTTCATCATAAACAATCTGACTCATAACTAATTTGTCAAATTCAACTGATGGTATTTCGCCTACACTCTGATTAACCAACCAATGTTTGAATAAAATTCTATGAAGAATTTACAGGGTATGAAAAAACGACCAAACACTACGGTGTCCAGGCTTCGAATTCCGGTAGATGCATTTCTAAGCCGTGTTTAATTCACCATTTAATAGTAAGCAGGAAAAAGAGGAAATGTTAGGCGTGAGGCTTGTATCCTATTTCATAAAAAGAATATCATGCCTAGTGGAATTTCCAGGCCCTGAACCTGAATCGCTCGAAACTCTTGGAATGAAAGGAATATGGATCAATTCTCATGATTTACAGAATTATTTTTACTGAAAAAATTTACTTAATTATGAAAGATTTCTTTGAACAGTATGTTCAGGAAACAACGCAATCACCTCAACGCAACAAACGGATTACCTTAATCTATACCACTGGCATTTCAGAATATGTCAACCACTTCTTTTATTCATTTATTATTTAGAATGATGCTGAGACTAAAAGACAACTGGAGGATAGTTAAAAAACTTAGCATTTAAACCTAACTTCAGGAGAAATACACTTTGATAAAGATTCAATCCACATTCCACTCATAAATCCTAATAGGACAGGAGTAAGACAAGGCTGCCTACTATCGCCAATGATTTTCCTGATTGCAGCAGACTGGATAATGCGACAAACAGCGGGCAATGAGGAAACAGGCATAAAATGGACTCACACAAAAAACTTGGAGGGCCTGGACTTCGCCGATGATATATGTCTGACTTCCCACAAACTGGAAGATATGCAAGAGAAAAGCAACAAGTGGGCAGAAGAAGCATCAAAGATAGGACTTCAGGTGAACATAGAGAAAACAGAGGTTATGAAGATTCCTGGCCAACACCACCAACAGAAACAACAACAACTGACAACAATCAGCATAAATGGGAGAAACCTGAAAGAAACAACCTCCTTTACCTACCTGGGAGGCATCGTTTCAACTACAGGCATCTCAAACAAACTACAGACCTTCATTAACAGTCGTCTTAGCTCAATACTCAAGATCAGATGGCTGGCCAGAAAAGATCAGCAACAGGGAGGGATCTCTGGGAGCGAACCAACACAGCAGGAACCGATTGTGAAACAAATAGGCAGGAAGATATGGAGATGGATTGGCCATACTCTAAGGAAACCATCAAGTAAGTGACATCACTAGACAAGCCATTGCTCGAGTGGAACCCGAAAGGGAAACGGCCGGTTGGTCGTCAGTGCAAGGGTGACTTGGAGGAGGTCATGTGAAGAGGAGATGAAAGGGTGTGGGCAGACTTGGAGCCAGATGAAAACTCTAGCAGAGAACCGAACGCAATGGAGACGCAAGGCTGAAGCCCTATGTTCTTCTAGCAATTAAAGGAAACAATAATAATAATAATGAAACAATTACTCTAACAGATGGAATAATTTTGCAGTGCAGATTTTTTCACCAACCAAAATTACTTTGAGAATCATTGATAAAATCAGATGAGCACTGGGCAATTATTTCATCCTAGTTTTGGTCTCTCAAACAATGAGCATCCATGATCCTACAAGGGAGAGAACTAAGGACCTTCAGGTTAATGGGTCAGTCATTTAGTTACTCGGTCGAAATTCACTTCATGTTGGTTGTAATGAAATCTACATTGACATCAATCCAAATCCCACTAAACTTTGAAGATAACTTTGGACAGTACTAAATATGAATCGTCCTTGAGTGAGCAGATAAAATTTATGATAAGAAGAATCTCCTCTTTGGACAAAGATAAAAAGGATGCCTAATATTATATGCCACATGAAGATATATCTGAATTCTTAGTAAAGTTTGAGTTAATTATATGTCATCAAACCCGATAACACAACGTCCATTATCGGAAATCTAAGGTGGGAAAAGACTAAATAGTTTCCATGTTCCGACTAAATAAAGATTTCAGGTGAATGAAGAAGATACAGTTTTAAAACTTCTCTTCTTAATAAGATTTAATCAAAAGTTAGATTCAGTATTCTTCAGGAAATAGTTACAATCGATAACTATCTCTATAATCGTTTCGAGTATTAGAAGCATTACTAACTGTTATTGTTGTAGCGGCAGTTATTTAGGATATGTGACATTAACATTCAAAGTTCGCTTCTTCAAACAAGCAACGAATGTGTTAGTTGATGGGTGTTTCATATTTGGACAGAGATATATATTGGAAAAAAACCAAAAGGAAAAGTTTATATGTTTTAATTAAACTTTTTTCCCATCATTTGAACTACATTACAACCAATTATCCTAACTAACCACTAAGTCATAGCAAACTAGCGGTTATTCTTTGTGCACAGTTATGTCGTAAACTGTTCGCCTAATCATTCCGATGTTAACAAAAGTAACTTTTGCTGGTATATTACGTTCATTTAATTTGTACAACTTCGTTGTTACTACCTACAAAAGTGACAAATTGTACATTTAAAATAACACACTTTTATCCCTTATACACTGGAATTTAGCCGGTCTTCCCAGATAACAAGCGTTGTTAATTTGTTTTGCAGTTGTGTAATAGTTTCCGGAATGTAGTTTATTACTTATGTTCAACTTAAACTAACTCACGAGGTTATTACTTTTTTAGTTATTATTGTGAATAGCGTACCATGGCTTACACAAAGGTAAAGAAAAATATTCTCATTTAAAGACTAATATACCTACAGTTCAAGAGTCAGTGATGTTTTCTGCCTCCCCATTATAATGATAATATATATCCTGAACGCAATCACTGATTACTAAATCGTAGTGTATGTAAGAAGCAATAATTGTGATTTATGCACAATGAATGAAGTCATATAGATATCAGTATTAATGTAGTAAAGTGATATCATTTAACCAACCTTGTTACGTGCGATTCCATGCGGTGGAACAGGAGGAGCGACAGGTTTCTGCTGAGTAGTAGATACAGCTGCATTGAATTTTGCTTGAATAGGTGTATATTGTTGAGAATTACTACCATAGCTGGCATTTCTTAGCTGAGGTGCACTAGGCGTCCTTTGACTACTGCCTCCTTGTCTAAGAATGCTACCACGCGTAAATTGACTGTCATTGTTTGCAGTAGGTTTACGTGGTTGTGAAGCCTGAGTAGGTTGACCATTTTGTTTTTGAACTGAGGGATTTCCACTCGATCCATTATTAAGGCCAAGGGTGAAAATATCTGTCGTCGATGTGGCTGCATTCGATTGTGTCATAGCTTCAACTTGACGAATGATTTCCCTGACTGAAGGTAAAATGTGAGACTCTCCATCTTCCTATATTTTGTAAGAGAGATTAATACACGTGATAGTTATGATGGCATACTTACCCTGAAATTAAGATATTCAACAGCATGATCAAGAACATTCTAATTTCACTGCACTGATGTGCACTGATTTCGCTAAAGAGGTAATTAGCTTTAACTTCCAAGTGACGGGATTATGTTTCAGCACATGTTACATAGTTTGATTATTCATGTATATGCTGAATAAAGTTGATATACAAACTAACATGTTCACACTTCAATTGACATTTCTATCTTTCTCAATAAAATCGAGCAGATGCTTCATGCATGCTCTGTATATTTCAAAGTATGCATGGGAATTCACAAACATTTCTACTTTCACATATATATCTAACTGTAGACTTCGTCGATAGAATTCAGTCTGCACTAACACGAAGGACTAGACGTATGACGCTGGTTACTCCCTAGTGACCGACCAATTTATCCATTACAGACCCACAAGATATCAGTCGTAAGCCTGAATAACTCCGTGATAAAATCTGTGACTGTGGCACTGCTTAAGGGCAGTTCGAATCTCAGAGGGGCAATCAGTTCCCTCAATGTTACAGACATGCCTTTTTGACAAGTACCAACAAGCATAAAATCTAGATTCATGGAGTCTGGCTAACTGCCTCAAACCATCTAACACCAATTTAGAGGGCCATTTGAGCTCACTACGTGGACTGATTTGATCTGTGACACTTGTTTTCGTTGAATGGTAGATTTTTAACACCACCATTTTACCATTTAAATTGATACAGCCCCACTGGAAGCATGTTTTCGCCGTTGTAAAAGTACCTAGAGCACAACACCTAAAATATCTCCATAACAATGGTAAAGTAGGAAATAAGTAGCGATGAATGCATGTTGTAGTTTGAAGTGTTTGCCGGTAAAAAGTACCACTTCCGGTCAAAGTTATTGCCTATTGAATGATCCCACTCAGAAGATACATTAACATCAAAAATATCCACCTGACCTACAAATCTGTTCAACTACCTTAAAAACACACTTCCTAGTGTCTTCAAAAGCCGACGTTTCAATATCGCAAAATGAAAGTGAAATATGATATCGAAACAAAGGCAGTGAAAGTGATACGAACAAGTGAGCTTATAATGTACTTTACCACACACTTTCCTTCCTATTGCGTCCCTCCAAGATAGCCAACAGTCACAAACTCACTAGTGCATGAGTTGTTGTATTCTCAGTGGAGATGAGAATGAAGAAGTCCTTTAAACGCTTGTTAGCTTTCATTTCGTGATGTAAACTGTTTCCGAACGAATCAGTCTCCTATGAAAACCATCAAATGAATCAGATTTTCTGCATTTCATGTGGAAGACATTTTCAGCTTACATAAGTAATATTATAATACAAGTACTTTGCGGGCAACAACTTCTGCTTTCATTTCACTAATGATATTTGCTCAAATTTCATACATACCTAAATCATTCAAAACAAGATATATAATTAATCTAAAGTTTAACAAAGCGTAGAATTACCTCAGGACCATCAGATGTAAATGAATTAACATTATTGTGTTCCACTCTAGACGGTGATGAGCCGCGTCGTTGAGCATTTGTAACATTTAAGTTGATTTTCTGAGATTTTGCTACATAAGAGTTTTTCTCTCCATTTGTACCTTGTACCAGATTATTTTCAGAAGCTCGAAAACATGTCACAGGGCTTATAGTTGGACTTGGCCCAGGACTTGGCTGTGCACTTCTGCTTCGAGCAGGAATTGTCACTGGACCAGGACGACTGCCAGATGTATATATCTGCACAAAATATACACAAACATTAATACATTGTTGCAAGCATCAGTTGTAAACAAATTGTTATTAAAACCATTGTAAATTTTGCTGGCTTCTTTTACAAATAGTAAAATGAGGCTATCTCATTTAAACGAAGAAAACAATACATTTACTGTCTGTACTGTTTGCCACTCTAACGGGGAAAGGTATGTTGCTCATTGTTAGACAGACTACAATTACGAATCACTTTATGGTATGCATCATAATCACGCAAAAACGTTTTTAACAATAAAGGTGGATAAGTAATAAAACCACTAAGTAACAACATCACTAGTTGATATTGGGTAGTAGGAAGTTTTGAACTTAGATTTCGTGTCTACTAAAATCCTTAAGCAAAAGAATATCCACAACGACAAAAGAAATTATACCACTGCAGGGATTAATACCTGTGTCACCTATTGCCGAAGTTAGAGATGTTATAAATTTGACTAAGATAATTCAGTTAGCACTAAGTCCTAAACATATGATAGTGGTTAAGTTTTATAATAATAATAATAATTTTTGCTTTATTCCAGAAACAGTACTAATGATACAGCAAAGAATTTTCAGCATTCAGTACAATATTGCATCTAATTTAATCAAAAACGACAAAAAAAACAAAATGAAAAATAAACACTACTTAATAATAATAACAAAACGTTGTTATAGCAGCTATTTAGCAAATTACTGTATACATTACGGAGAAAAATATGCATAAAGTATAAAATTATAGTAATAATAGTAATAACAACTAAAATAAAAATCGCAAAGTTATAATTAAACGATAGAAAGGGTGACACCATAAAATTACAGAAAGATGAACAATGAAAGGGGCGATTCACTTTGCTAATTACATAGTAACTTATATGTTTCACGTCTAACAGAGTCTTCATCACATACAGTACGGGCTAAATACGGTATTGTAGAATTTTTGTACTTAGTGGTTCGAGCATATAACTTCTTATATTGACCTCTCGTCCTACCGGATGAGATACAAGGGGATAGTTGTGAATAAGGCGAGGGAGTGCAGAGGGTCTGACAGTACGGCCTTTGCCCATTTTGTACAGGAATTTATGTGTCTCTCGACTATAGTATTGGAGAGCTCACGCAGTGGCAAACCATAAGCTCTACTCACAGCATTTAATACCCTTCGTAATATGATATAGTTTTTTTTGAGAAGCCCAGGAAAGATTAATGGAGAACAATAGAGTACAATAGGTAAAATACAGGAGTTTAAAAATTACAGAACTAAAGGTTGTTTGACACCTGATTGTCTTAACTTTTTATTGACCCATCAATCCGTTAATGCCTTTATTGTTCCCACGAGAAAAGTAGAAGTGATCATGGTGTATTAGGCAAGAAGACCAAGTGAGTACAACTAGCTCATTGTTGACATTTGAACGTCAATAAGATAAGTCTTAAAAGGAGGGCTTAAATTGTGATAGCTTATTTAGTTTAAATTAAGATTTTGAATTAGCTCACTATATTGAATCACATGTATTATTTATCCTGCAAAGCTTTAATAGGCGATTCTGTTAGACTAAAGACTTATGTCAATATAACAGTATTAAAATGTGTTACAAAAATGAACTTTTTGGTTTCCTGAATGAGACTGAAATGCGCCAGCTCCCAAAGTAAGCATTCAACTATGGTTTAGTCTATGCAACAAAGGCGACAGCACCACTTGGAGTTCGACAGGTGGATGAATCATTAGATAAACTTAGTTTCTTTCAGTAGACTATGTATTTGAAGGCTCGTTCAGATTCCAAAGTTTTGACATTTAACCTACCGCAAGCGTTTTCTTCGACAAATACAATCAGTTTTTTAGCACACATGTATCGGTGTGTTACATAATCCTTTATGGTCATTACGGTTACATAGTTTGAAAAAAAGGGTAAAGCTCACTGTGTGAATATATGACATTGATTTTTTTGCACATGTTTACTCTGTAGGTTTAAATGCGAAGATATGAAGTGCCTCAGCACCATGCTATAGGTATCAAAATTAGCTGGTAATGTTAAAAAGTTTGTCGTGATTCCACTTATTTTAAGCTTTGATTTTTAAAATAGAGGTTTATTTGCAAACCAACATTTCCCTTTAAACCATTAGAAAGCAGAGGCAGCTGGATAGTGGCTGTGTGCACTCACGGTGTAAGGCAAGACACGGAAGCCAAGTTATATTTTTTCATTGATCAAACCGCTGTTTATATATCTACAGCTTATATTCGTTAACCAATCAATGAGCGTAGGATTTCGGCTTACATTAAACGATATGAAATAGAATGTTCAAATAGATATATCGTATTCTGTTGCTAATGCTGTATTGAACTGTGGGAATATGTGAGAATAATACTCCGTTGGAACACACGCTTTGTATCACACCACCACAATGGTCTTACTAAGCCTAAAATCTTGGACTTACATATTACAATCTCTGATACTGCCATGTTTATCCGCATTTATAGTGACTCATTTTATACAGCTTCAATTTTGAATCCGACTCAGTGTCTATCTAAGACTAGTTAACATACAGAAGAATACTTTACAATTTCCGATACTTATCGATCATACTTGAACTCAAGTTATCGTATTAACTTGAGTCCTTATCTACCTGAAATGACACTTCATATTATACCTCAACTACTAACTTGTAATTGATATTTTATAATCTAGCCGTATTATCACAAACCTGTGAAAGTTAATGGTACACAGTACTGCTATGTAGACATGGAATTTTTCAGGTGCATTAGCAGAATAGCCATCATTCATAACACATCCTTGTAAATAAACCTCAAGATAGTGTTAAATTTTAGTCTTAGAAAATATCCCATAATAAAATCAGCTAAATACTACTACCCTTAGTGCTGACCTCTGAATGACCAACTGTACATTTCAAGATTATCCATCTAATGATATCTAATGTAAGAATTTCTATTAAGTTTATTAAATAAACAGTGTGAATCACGCAAATTCCAAAAAATAAATAAATAAAGGAAATAGTCAGTCTGTATACCTTCAATTCTACCTGCCATTTATTTAGCCAATATATCAATCTGTCATAACAATTACAAACCGTTTTGTTTCACACTTTATTCTTCTTCTTTTCCTATAAATCAACAGTATAAATCTAGTTTACAATAATACGAAAAAAAAACCTGCAATAGCTGTGTATTATTATTTTTTTCTGTCTAATATCGGGGGAAAAATTGAAGTTTTAACTGGCTGGGTTTTGTGTTTATTTTTTACGGTATTAGATTGATTATTGAACCATTTGCTTTAGACAAAAAAATGAAGAAAACTTTAATGAATCAGAAGACCAAAAATGTCTACACAATAATATCACGGTATAAACATTTCGTTTACTTATTGTAACTGCTGGTGTTACTGTTAATACTACTTGTACTACTGACATAGTTAACCAGTGGTGAATCAAATGATTGTGAAAAGAAAAATCAATACGAAAGAAATGATGCACAGTGAATTACCTATCCTTCTATGTGTCTGTCAGCTTCTAGAAGCAGAAATAAATGTCTTTAGTGAAAGATAAATCATCGATATTTGGTGTAATTTTAAACTTCTTTTACTGAAGACAATGGGCTTCCTGAATTCCTCTACCTATAAACTTGACAGGTTTTCCCGAAGAACCAATATCAGTCGGACAGATCACTGAATACCAGAGAGCACTGAACAGCTGTTTCATCCTATTCTGGGAATCTTTATCAGTGCTCCCCTATTATCCAATCAGCGACCCAACCATGAACTTTCAGGTTACGAGATCAGGCTATTTGACCATTTAACCGTTTGAGTCGGAATTCATTGACCCGTGAATTCTAACTTTGCCAGAAAGTCTCCACAAATCCTATAATTTCAATTGAAATTATATATTTGTTACCTTTTGATTTAGTTGTTTTCTCTGAACTGGTTAATTTAATTACGAAGCTTTCGTTGTCCACCCTCTAGACAACGTTTTCAGCGCAAATTTTAATATGAAAAGAATCTATTCAAATTTTCCTGATAACCATTGATGTGAATGGTTGTTAATTTACACTTCTAATGATTAGCGTAAATTTGGTCTAAATTACTGTTTGCTTATCGATGAATCAGTAATACAGTTATATCATTCATGAAGAATTCAAGCGGGTTTACTTCATAATAAAACTTGCGCCAAAGATGTAGCCAAATAGGGAGATGAAAGCTTCGCAATTAAATCAACCAGCTCAGAGAACATTTTCTTTTTTATTGCTTTACATTCCCAGTGGAATGTAGGAGGATTTCAGGCTAGGGCTTTGAAGTTTCGGGTTGCTAACCTCATACCCAACCTTTCCTCTTTACCAGTCTTATTACTGGCTTAGTGACGTAAAGGAGTGCGTCGGCCATGGATCGAAACCCGAACCACCTTCATGGTTTGCGAGTATTCTACTGATGTGCCACCGACTCACAGAGAATACTATAAAATTAAAATCATCCCTCTCAGCTACTAATTTTCTCTGTATTTACTGCATTTCATATTTTTTAAATCATCCATGAATGACAATCTAGAGTAGGTTTCAATTTAAGACTATGTATTTTTGAAGGAAATGCAGGCAGAACGTTGGGAAGTATTCCAGCAAACTTTGGATGTGACAGTATTTCTTCAAATGTTTCATTCTTGATAATCATATCACTTGAAGATGTTGCACATAGGAGTACATACCTTACAATAAAACACGTTGAAAATTCTGTAAACGCAGATGTTAGAATACAGCTACTATTAGTACTGAGTAGATTTTGTGAATACTGTAGATTTCTAATAACTCTCTAAATAAGGCAGATCTATTGTTGACTGTAAAACAATATCAAAGGAATATGCAAGCTCCAAGAATGAGGTTTAAGTTGGATTTCGTTTATCTTCTTCAAAGTATGCGAAATACTCATAATACATAAATTAAAAAGACAAAGGTCAGCAAAGATAATTCTTTTCGCAAATTCATTTCTAAGCTATACAAT